ATTGCCGTACCTTGAACCTTCACTGTTTATCAGGTACCAGTGATCCAATGCTTCCATGTAGTGTCGGGTTATGTATTCGCATCGACTATGTTACGCACAGGGAGGAGGGCAACCAATGAATTTTAGTTCCACACTCAGTTTGTTGTCAACCCAAATTGCCTGGTACAATTTTAGAAGGAATATTTTTATACCTCGTATGTGCAGTAATGTTTCTTCCTAGTCCCCTAAATTGATTCGCAAACCGTTTCTACTTGTTTGCTGTTGCCCTCCGTGCAGGAAGATGAAAGATTATTTCATTGAGATCAGGAAGAGTTTAGTGACTCAATAATCACCAGTCTAGTGGCTCCTATAAAAGTTCAGATCGTTGCTGTCCACAAGACTAGACGAATGTTTCTAATGTTAAACCAACATGCACTTCGGGACAGTCACATAGTCCAATTTGCATGACTCTGGGTATTCAGTCTGCTCCTGTGAAACTTCGTGTCGACGGAAAAAATTATTCGTTTTCGAACTTAAATTAGTGTTTCAATATTCTATCGCTTGTAGAGAGTTTTTCGTCGTGTCCGTTCCACCTATTCCATTGCAGAGTTCCGTTCTTCTTTGAGTAGAATGGCAACTGGAAAATATCTGCGGGAAATTTCTTTTCCGTTTTGCTTCAAAGTTGATGAGTAGTCTGGGTTCTCGCGTGCGCATACGCCATCAGTGTTGTCTGCGTGACACCAATTCAGGCAGACAGATCCTCGATTATGGTTTGATTCAATGTTCGGATACCACCCCACCCTCCATTGTCGCGTTTCCCACATGTATATGCCATGCTCTAAACCCGTGGTTATTGTTCATCTCCCGAATCGTTCATGGATATATCGATCCTGTGTCCGTCTGTTCCGCCGCACGTGTGCCGCCCGGTCCTTGTCTAACTTCTGCCGTTATCGACAAAGAATGAAATCGTTGTATTCTGCCAGTAGTGATAGCGGCTCTCAAACAATTATTTTATCCTCCGGGTTGTTTCTCTATTCTCTTGTCTCTTAAAAAAAATCAAGGAACGAGAAGTGTTTCTTAACGTACGACGATAATTCTGCACTGTTTGTGAAAAGCAGATCGTAAATTCTCAGATCAGCAATCCACCATCACCACGACCTGGTCATCTAGTTACAGTGTCTGATTCGTTCTGTAACTGGCGTCAAGTTTATCATGTTTGAATTGTTCATGTCATGGAGTATCGACTTTCACCGCCCATCGGCCCACATAGAATACATCTCAGTTGACTGAATTGATGCTCCACTTGGCAGTACTATTTATGTGGATTTTCGCTCAACGCGAGTGACTGATTGTATTGTGTGTGAACGCGGAACACCCGATTACGTAACACACGCATAACAGTTATGTAATACTCCACTCTTTTTTATATTTCCCTCGTCACTCGCATTCCTCTTAGATGTGAAGTGTTATGTAAGCATCAAATCGACGGGTCATCAAAAACAAGCTGATTTACAATGGTATCCCTAGACAGATAATTCCTATGGAGTTCCTTTTTGTTGATGCTTATAGCAGTATGGGCGTGATATCAATCGTGACTCATTCTTCAGTGTTCTCAATTTAGTTACTCGTGAACTTCATAACACACACAAGTGGAACATCATGCTCTCCCATGAAAATTACTATAAAGCATGTTATTTATAGAGATTGACGGGTTATGAGCACTGCTCACTCGTTTCTCATTTCTGTGGTAGCAGTAGTCGATGGTGATTTCCCGAATGAACCAACTACACCACAGCACCTTGTATACATCATTTTTGCTCGAAACTAGCAGCACATGAATGCGTTGTTGAAGGATTTCAGGTGTTATGGTTTCGCCTGCTCCGTGGTAAAAATATGAATTTACTGGTATGTGCACATAAACGAACTCTCGTTGAACATATCTGTGCGCTCTCTTGCTCAAAAAAGCGGCTCATTTCACGTCCAATTGTAGCAAAACATCAAATAGGTCTGCTGTTGTACAGGTTACTCGCAAAACAATGCACATGGATTCGTTTCAGTTGTCTTCCTCGGTTTATATTGGTTTCCTCCTCAAGTCGGTCTGGGAGATCTGCATACTTTGGCATACCTTTATTGTTGTAATTGCAGTTTTCACATTGAGCGGAAGCTTTATCGCATCTGTTTTATCTCCTCAATTTTAGTCGACTGGATGTGATTGCTCGTGGGTACAGTGGTTACAATACTCGCATGTGCCGACCCCTGTTGCAAGCAC